GCTGCCTTCCCTCTAGTCTTAAACTGCTAAATTAGGGACGGCTAGCGCAGATAGCCCTTGTGTAGCTTTGCGCGAAATTCAAAACAAACAAACCGTAGACATACCGCTGTGCCAGTTGGTTTAGTAAATACTTATTTTTGAAACTTTTGTTGTTATAGCGTAAATGTACACAATGGGCTATGTGAGCTCTCTCCTTCACGGGGAATTGAACCCCGGACTTTAGCTTTACAAGTTCGTACACTTACCGCTGACCGACATTGTTACTTAGAACTAAATACACTATAATATCTGTAGTTGTAACAAGCTCGAATCTGTGTTCGTTTCAGACATCGGCAAAAGTTGTGGAAACAGTTTTAAAATGAAATATGACGTCAGTTACCACGTGACTACTCCAAAATATCCTAACAACTATGAACCAGAGACAAAATGTGAATACACGTTCTGGGTGAGTTTCAATTTTTAATTTCTTCCAAAGAAGCTCTCAAAAGTTGAGAACGTTTTTTATATGATATAATAACTATAATCACGAGATGTTGCCAGCTATGCACACTACTAACTATAAGAGTTTTGTTTGAAAATAAAGATGATAAACCTAACTAAAAATCCTCAATTAATAGTTGATTTTTGTACGTTGGCATCGAATTAAAGAGAGCATTTTATTCCTACCTTTTAAGTATAAGCATAACTATACATTGACAAGACATCCGAATGCTTAAACAATAAGATAATATTCACCCAAAGCCAGTTGTCCCTAATTTTGAATTGGTGATAGTCAAGAGCACCCGCCGCCAATTCTTGGGTAATCAAATAGTGGAATTTGATTGTCGCTCTTGTATAAAATGCTAAGCAGCTTTCAACATTGAGAATTCTTGATACTAAACTCAAGTGTTAAAGAACTGAAGTTGTTGTCAACCGCAAAAGCTGCACTGTATCCATCTTAGGGAATCAAACCTCGGATTCTAGCGGGACAAAACTCAAGATTACCGGTGAGCTATCAGCGGAAGAATAATTTAGAAATGGTTTATTTGTCAGAAAGATATAAAATGTTATGTATTGGTGCTCAAGGACTATCTACGCACAGACCAGGTCCCGGGGTCAGTAATATCTGCTGATGTTTCGTAAAAGAAACTTAGGTGACAAATTTCTTCATGAATCCATAAAAAAAAGCAGTAGCCGTTTTAGCTCATTAAGTAGTATGCATTTCTAGTGAGCTTTGGAATATCCCACTGCAGGGCCTCTCAACAGACCACGGGCCCGGGGGCAGCTGCCCCCTTTCATCAGCCCTGCGCATAGACCCCCCTCCCCAATTTGAAGTGATAGACTAAAGGAAAAGCAGCTAGTCAATAGCATCCACCTCTAACTTTTAGGTTACTTTTGTATATGACCGAATAGTCGGGTGTGATTATTACACATATAGTGTACAAACGATTCTAAACTGCGCAGCACTCATTTGCAGAAACGGGACGCGAAGCACAAACTATTGGATTCAAAGTCATGGTGCGCTAACCACTCTAGCCCAGGCTAAGCCCAAACATGTTATAAAGGTATATACCTATTCCAGGAGACACATTTATATTTATTACAACTTATTTATTTTGTTGTTGTTGTTTAAAGGCCTGGCATGGGCCGGTGGTTAGGGCGCTCGACTCCCAATCCGCGGATCGCGAGTTCGAATCCCCGTCCCACCAAACACGCTAGCCCTTTCAGCTGTGGGGGCGTTATAATATGACGGTCAATCCTACTGTTCGTTGGTAAAAGAGTAGCCTGAGAGTTGGCTGTGCATGGAGATGACTAGCTGCCTTCCCTCTAGTCTTACACTGCTAAATTAGGAATGGCTAGCGCAGATAGCCCTCGTGTAGCTTTGTGCGAAATTCATAACAAACAAACAAATTTTTTGTTTAAAATATTTGGTGTTTACTGTTGCTTTATCAGCCTCAGCACGTGCTTTTCTCATTTTTAGTTATTAATTATATGTTGTTGTTTTTTTATAACAGGCACCTTCTTCAACAGACCGTTTGCATTTGCATTTTTATGATTTTATTTTTGAAAAGAGCCTGTCTTGCTCGAAAGACAATGTCACGATTGAATCCTTGGTTACAGGAGATACACAAGTGTAAGAGACTGTACTTATTTATTTAATAAAGTATGGGTGTCAGAAAGGGCCTTAATTGGCCCACTTGAGAGTTGGGTGAAAAATGTGCACAAATATAATAGGTCGCTTATAGCTTGTTATGTTACCTGCTTTTTCATAATTCCCAAGATGGCGGTCACTGGCAGATCTTATATAATGTTTCGCAGAGTTTAGAGGCAGTTCCACTGTAATAGTTTAGAATGGGTAAAGAAATATCAGTATCTGTTGCCTGGGCATTATACAATGTCCACTTGATACAAATCTTCTGTCCAGAACTCAAATAAGTTTACACGTTGTAATTTTATCATTTACATCATCTCGTTAATTGAATCCCAGTCCTGATCATCTTCCAGTGCACGCTGTTCATGTGGTGTTATAAAAGGTAAAGACATGTTATGATGGCGATGGAAGCCACAAAACAGAAGCAACATGAGCAGTGCATACCAATGTCATTGTTCCTGAGTGACACTGACAACTCCAGCCACACGGTAGGTAGCCAAGTGATGCTGTTTCTCAGCACTATACTTATTCCTGAGTGACACTGGTAACTCTAGCCATACAATAGATAGCTAAAGATGCTGTTTGTTAGCACTGTACTTGCTCCAAATGGTGACCAAATGATTCTGTTTCATAAACGATCCATAGTTGTAGACCTTTGATGCCCCATGTTGTGATCCCTAGAAGATCGTTATTAATATTTTATGGAACATAACTTAAATGACAGTTTTTTGAGTATACGACTTTGTTTAACTTTCACAGTGCCTCGCCATTTCCATATGCATTTTATACTTTCAAAATTTTGGGAGACCGTGTCAACCGTATAGCCAGGATTGGAACTTGTCACAAACTAACGTTTCAATAAACACAACATCCTCAACAAGTATCAGTGGACCATTCCAAGCCAAATGATGTGATCTTCCCTATTTATGATGTGTTAAAGCACAACTTTGGAGCATGTTACTTTTAACGTGGCGCACAAAATTGAAGAGGATGAATAAACTGTATGATTTGATTTTATTTTTTGCAAAGGTGATGAAGCCAGCTCAAATTTTTATTTTTGAAAGAAAGTATAAAGTTAGTATAATGTGAATAGATAACCAATAGGAAAATAATTATCCAGCTGAATGAATTATTAAGGACGGGTGTCATTAAGGGCCTAAAATGATCCATTGCATTATAGATACATAAATTAGGATGAAATGTAACTTCTACAAATAGAGATAATCTTGAGTATGTTATAAATAACAACCATGTTGTAAAATACATCAATACTGAAGTAAATCAGACATATTTAACAATACCTGGAACGCTCACATGCACCATATACTATAGCAGTATTAACTTGTAGATAACAATTACTAATACATCAACACTGAAGTAAATCAGACATATTTAACAATACCTGGAACGCCCACATGCACCACATTTCTCCGTCAGTTACTGGTAAAAGTAGTAATTCATACTTTTGATCCAGAGTTAAATTCACCTGACCCCCGCAAGGGGGACGTTCTACCAGGGCTTTCATCCGGAATCCAGGATATTGTTCATTTTTGTCTGTATTTACGATGATTCTAAGAAAACCTCCTTTCGTCACAAAGTTCTGCTTCTTCAGATCCTCTCCACAGAAACTAGATGAAAATAAATCCTTATTGTTGCAAACTTCTGATTAGTGTTCAATTCAACCGAAACAAATGTGACTGTTCAGAAGGTCGTTGACGTTACATTAAATCACCATTTGACCTATTTCATTGGTTTTACTTGAGGTTACACACAATTACAGTTACAGAGTTACATTTCTAGTGTGAAATTTATTAAATTGATTTACAACGGCTGATCAAGAGACGGTTTAATTCGTTTGTCTGGTATTTTAGTACAAGTTATTTTCACAGTTGGTTAACTTAAATATCACGGTATGATGCAAAAATAATACATCAACACTGAAGTAAATCAGACATATTTAACAATACCCGGAACGCCCACATGCACCATATACTATAGCAGTATTAACTTATAGATAACAATTACTGGTAATTGTTATCTATAAGTTAATACTGCTATAGTATATGGTGCATGTGGGCGTTCCGGGTATTGTTAAATATGTCTGATTTACTTCTGTGTTGATGTATTAGTAATTTTTATCTAAAAGTTAATACTGCTATAGTATATGGTGCGCGTGGGCGTTCCAGGTATTGTTAAATATGTCTGATTTACTTCAGTGTTGATGTATTGGTAATTGTTATCTATAAGTTAATACTGCTATAGTATATGGTGCATGTGGGCGTTCCGGGTATTGTTAAATATGTCTGATTTACTTCAGTGTTGATGTATTGGTAATTGTTATCTATAAGTTAATACTGGTATAGTATATGGTGCACGTGGGCGTTCCAGGTATTGTTAAATATGTCTGATTTACTTCAGTGTTGATGTATTGGTAATTGTTATCTATAAGTTAATACTGCTATAGTATATGGTGCACGTGGGCGTTCCGGGTATTGTTAAATATGCCTTATTTACTTCTGTATTGATGTATTAGTAATTGTTATCTATAAGTTAATACTGCTATAGTATATGGTGTATGTGGGCGTTCCGTGTAGTGTTAAATATGCCTGATTTACTTCTGTGTTGATGTATTGGTAATTGTTATCTATAAGTTAACATTGTGTGCAGATAACTCATGTTAAGCAGTTATTTGAAAAAAAATTCCAACATTTTTGTACATAGGCGCCACCTAGCCAGAAGATTTCTGTTAGCCTGAATATGACGAATGATATTAAGGGTAAATATAATACGAAAAAAGCAGCAGATTGTGAAGACGTAATGCTTCAGGTGAATAAGAAAGGGTTACCTAATATAGAAGAGGGAGAAAAGTAAGTTACTCTTTCAACCATTTTAAAAATAAACACAAAATCGTAAGAGATAAATAGCATCTATTTTGATATAAAATAATCTGGTTTCTTGTATTTGTACTCTGTCTCAATTTGAAAATATATGGATTTCTCGTCACTGGATCTTAGGCCTATTAAGTTACTGTTAAATCCGTATTTTCAGTCCAAACATCGGGATAAATAGCAGCATTATATGAACTTATTGTTAATTTCAGTTGTTATCTGGTATTAACCAGTGATGGAACATTTTAAATTCTGGCAAAATTTTAGGGAAATGTTAAACAAACGTTACTGGCATATTGACTTATTTTTACTTTTTGTGTCTCTTTCACATCTAAATAAACAATATAACATACTTACAATGGGCTTTTATCTTCTTAATAAACACTCAAGTATTTTAACTTTTTAGACTTATGACGCGAGTACTAATATTCGTATTAATTTTTTTTCGACTGTTTAGAGTTTCTTTTGTTACATTGTTTACATGCAACAAAACAAACTATAAACAGACAAATGCACATTTCGAATAAACACTCTGCTTCGAAAACTAAATAAACTTAACCAAGCGAGAACGCCCTCTCTTGAATATGTAAATGTATAATAAATTAAATATATATATATAAACCTTTTATTTAATTGGGTTTGTGTACTAGTAATGTGAAAATATTTTTTGATTAAGTTAAAGTGAATATCCAGAAAATATATCAACAAAGTTCACAATTTCATATATCAAAATATAAGAACCTAACAGAATAAATTCAATGATAATATATTATTGGATAAAATACGAAATAAATTCATTAAAACATTATTATTACGTACAGTTACAAAATGTTCAATTCCGAAAATTAAAACAATGATTTCAGAAAATTTTATTTATGGTCGTTGAATAGTGGTACAAAAGGTTTCTAAGTTTTTGTTTGTTTTTTTCGTTAGTTCTTCAAAGCGCATGTGTTTAGATATTTTCGGTTTATTTCCTAGTTTATCGAATATGATCCTAACAACAACCCAATAGCAGAACGTTTCTGTTTACCTAATCTGGCATTTCTTAACTGTTTGTCTCAATTAATCCAAATAAAATTAGTTTAGACTAGCGAATATATGATTTTAAACTAGAAAATCACGCAGGAAGCTTTACCTTTTCCTAGTTTAAAACCATATAAACAGTCACATAGGAAACTTTACCAGTGTACTCACTGAGAATGAGCTGTTTATATGGTTTTAAACTAGGAAATCACATAGGAAACTTTACCAGTGTACTCATTGAGAATGAG